ACCGCAACATAAATGTTAGTAACAAAATAAAGAAACACCATAGCAGTGTGAAATAAACTTTAACTTCTAACATTAACTTATATATTAACTCCGGCAATACCACCGACCGCAAAAACCAATTTTTTTTTTTCGATTCTGTTATCAAAATATGTTTAAACGTCACATTTAACGGGATTGTTGAAATCATTACATTCCACAAATTAAATGTAATCAATACTACCATTAGTCCCAGAATGTATCTAAAGTATTCAAACATCGGAAATTCATTAATATATTTCACCGTACCGTCAAGGCTACATAAAGACCTTCAAAATGTTTGGCCTAAGAACAAGAAAATCTCAATCCACTTTGAAAAAATTCTAAATTTGTCGAAAAGTTTTTTTCTTATGGAAGAATTGATAAAAAATATGAAAATATTTTCAACTCTTTGGGAAATATTGATGCAAGTATTTCCCAACATATAATTGAAATAAAGGTTTCGTTTCTTGTAAAATTTGGGACTTAACATAAGTCTTGGTGACTAACGTGAGGGTTAAATATTTCCACCAAAATAATCGTTATACTGATATAAGTAATAGTGCTGAAGACTCTATATACATAAAATTCACATATTTCTTGGAATCTTAATCCGAAAATTAGAAAAACTTTTTGTGTCGCATAGTATAATTTACGAGGTACGTTGCAAAAATATATCCCCAAATTATAGCAAATTCAAAATTAAATTTACATAAATAGCAATAGTAAATAAACCGAATCCGAAAGACAAAAATAATATTTCTTGAAATGCCTTGGATTCCAAAGGTATTCTTCAAATTAAGTTGTTTCTCTGAAATATTTTGAAATAAACAAAAAAAATATTTTTAAAATTTCATGATTGAAATTCGACAAGTTTTGCTGAAATATTTATTACGTTTTTAATATAATATTTAATATTTACATTTGTTTAACTTTTAAACGAACTGGTTAGTAAAAAATTTCAACATCTAAAAATTTTAATTATTTCAAATTATTTCAATTGCAATTTTGTTTTTCTAAAAATTCTAAATTTTTGTTTAATATTCTCATTTTTAAAATTCATAAACAATATTTTCAATTTATCACGTCTTTTTTTGGAAAGGGCAATGTCAAAATTTTTAAATTCAATTTAAGCAACCCAAATTTAATAAAAGTAAATGTAGCAAACTGTAAATATATAGTTGGAATTTCAAATAAAACTATTTTGAATAGCAAATAATGCATTTCAAATTACATGTGAATAAGTTTGAAATTTAAATAAATTACATTAAAATTACTATAGAAAACCTCAAACTATAAGTGGAACAGTTTTGAATTTTAAAACAAATACTTTAGTTAATACTCGAATTTTTTAATGTCAAAAATAAATTATTAAATCTTTCAATTTTTCTTTTTGGAAAGCGTAAAATCAAAATTATGAATTTCAAATAGAATACAAGTAATGATTTTGAACATAGAAATTCAAACCATTGATATTTTTTGGAATTTCAAGCGAAACGATTTTGAATAAGTAATAGTACATTTCAAAAAACATGTGAAAATGTTCGAAATTCAAATAAATTTTATTAAAATTACAGATACCGAATTTCAAATTGAAATTGAATTCAAAAAATTTAAAAAAAGTAATAGATTTTAAATAATATGTTGTTTTTCAGATGTAATTCGAAACATTTTAATTCGAGATATCTATTTGTTATTCCTAACCTTCCATATTTATTTGGAATTATTTCATTTGAAATTCGATTTTTTCCATTAATAATTCGAAAATTTCCTTCGAAATTACATTGGCTTCATAATTGCGTTTTCGAATCACAAATAAAATGATTCGAATTACAAGTGAAATAATTAGAATTTCAAATGGAATAGTTCGAGTAAAAAATGGAAAAGTTACAAATTAAAAATTTAGTATTCCTATTGTAATTCGTAGTATGCCAATTGTAATGCAAAATTTTTATTGAAATTCGATAATTCAATTTTTTATTCGTAACATTCCATTTTAATTTCGAATTTTTTCATTTGTAATTCACATTTTTTTCATTTTTAATTCGAGTTATTTTATTTGAAATTCGAGTTTTCCCATTTAAAAATCGAAACAAAAAAAATCTCCATTTTTTTGCATTTGCTTCATATTTGCATTTTCGAATTATAAATAAAGTGATTCGAATTACAAGTGAAATAATTTGATTTCCAATGGAATTATTCGAATAAAAAATAGAAAATTTCAAATTACAAATCCGAATGAGAAATCCGTTTGTAATTCGAAATATATCAATTGTAGTACGAGATTTCCATTTGTTATTCGTAACGTTTTGAATACAATTCGATAATTTCATTTATTATTCGTAACATTCAAATTTAATTAATTAATTTATTCATTTGTAATTCGCATTTTAATTCGAATTATTTCCTTTGAAATTCTAATATTTCCATTTGATTCGAAAGAAAAAATATATATATAGCAAGCACTTTTTGCATTGGGTTCATATTTGCGTTTTCGAATTACAAATAAAATGATTCGAATTTAAGTGAAATTTGTCGAATTTCAAATGGAATAGTTCAAATCATAAATGTAATAATTTGAATTAAGAATGGAATATTACAAATTTCAAATGGAATTCTCAAATTATAATTGAAATGTTTTGAGTTATATCTGAAAAAGGTCTAGAAGAATTATAAATTTAATATATAGAACTCCATTTGTGGTTAATAATGTTCCAATTGTAATTCGAGATTTTTGTTAGTTATTCGTAACGTTTTGAGTGCAATTCGATAATTCCATTTATTATTCATAACATTCTAATTTAATTTCGAATTATTTCATTTGTAATTCGCATTTTTGTATTTTTAATATGAATTAATTCATTTAAAATTCGAATATTTCCTTATTTATTTGGAATTCTTCCGTTTGAAATAAAAACAAATTTCAAAAAATTTTTGTATTGGCTTCACATTTGCATTTTCGAATTACAAATAAAATTATTCACTTTACAAGTGAAAAATTCAAATGGAATAATTCGAATAAAAAATTGAAAAATTCAAATTAAAATTTAAATTCGTAATATTGCAATTGTAATTCGATAACTCCATTTGTTATTCTTAACACTCCATATTAATTTCGAGTTATTTCATTTGTAATACGCATTATTGAATTTTGATTTCGAATTGTTTAGTTTGAAATTCGAATCTTTCCATTTGAAATTCGAAACATAAGCATCGCAAATATTTTTTTTGCATTGGCTTCATATTTGCATTTTCGAATTAGAAATAATTGATTCGAATTTCAAGTAAAATAATTCTAATTTCAAATATAATATATCCAATGAAAAATAGAACAACTCGAATTACAAATGGAATTTAATGAATTAAAATCAAATTTTTAAATTAGAATTGAAATGTTTCGAATTACAAATTGAATCCTTGAATATCAATTGAAATAAAATTCGGATGAAAAATAGAAATATTCAAATAGCAAATTAAATATTTCGAATTTCACATGGAATTTTATAAATTGCAAATGAATTTTGTTAAAATTACAATTGAAATCTTTAGAATTACGACCAGAGTTCTCAAATGTCAATTGAAATAAAATTCGAATAAAAAATAGAAAAAGTCAAATTACAAATGGAATTATACGAATTACAAATGGAATTTTACGAATTACAAATGAAATCCTTAAATTACAATTGAAATGTTTTAAATTAAAAATGAAATCCTCGAATATAAATAGAAATTATAGGAATTACGAATGATATTCTCGAATGACATATGAATTGTTATGAATTACAATTAACATCTTTTGAATTATACGGTTTGTAAGACAAAAGATATAAAAAGTAAGACAAAAGATTTAAAAAAATATGTTTTTTTTCTAAACTCAAAAATCTAAAAAAAATATGTATTTTTAATAGTTTTTTTTTTTTTTTTTTTTTTTTTTTGGACCAATATTATAATTTTCGATAACAATTTAGATTGAATCCTTCCTAAGAAAATACACACATATTCCTATGCTTTTCCTTTAACCAAAAGATACCTAGATGTACATATTTGTCTCCTTTTCGAACCTGTCCTAATAAACTGTATCAATTTATGTGGCATACTTTTTCGGGGAGTTCAGTGGCTGTCGGGCAGTGCGCTTCATTCTTATATAATCAGTTAAAGTCACAAGAAGAGTATAAGTTTGTGGTTGTCGGTCAGAGTACACAGAAACTCAGTTCTATTTTGGTAATTTATTTAATGACTTTAGTTAGTTTCTTTGCTTGTTTTAAATTTTATGCAAAAGCATTTGAATTAGTTTTTCCAACACAAAGGATAGTTTTTAAGAACACACACACTCTCATACATACAAATGCTGGTGGGAGATGAGAAAAAAAAAACTTTGTGTTTTTCTTTGCATTTTTCTAATGGCAATAGAAAACTTTGAAATAAACAAAAGAAATGAAACACAAAACAAATGAAACCACTTGAGCTGCTGTTGGCATCTTTTTTTTTTGTTGTTTGGTTGCAGTTTTGCATTTGGTGGAGATGGGGTTTGAATTTTCACAATTTTTATATATTTTTTCGTTTATATCCCGTTTTTTGTGTTTGTTTGCCTTTCTTTCTAACGATTTACCAAATAAAATTTAATGCTCTCTCTCGTGGAAGAGTATTTTTTTGCGGTTAACACTGTTTTATGCACACTCATTTGCAGTAGATATCGCTCACACAATTACAACGGCAAATGGCACACTTCAACTGAATTTGTTGACAATTTTTTCCATCCTCTATTATTTTTTTTTTTTTCTTTTTGGAAAACTCACATACACTCACTCACACTGTGGCATAAAATCCCCAGACATAATACCGTCATTATCGTTAAGTGTTGCTGGCGTTTTGGTGTTTTTTTTTTTTTTTTTTTTTGAATGCAACTGGAAATGTGCAACATTAGCCCGGAATAAAAAAACAAAGAGTAGATTGCACAATTTTGCCTGAAAATTCAAAACACTCACACAATTTCCTGCTGTAATTTGGCCCACGACCACCACCATGAATCGGCTGGTATTAGGGATAACATGATGGCCCAAAATGGTGTTGGGTCAGAGATATTTGAAGGGCCCGCGGAAGTTCAGTGATCAGTTGAGAATTTTGCTTCAATTTGGCAAAGATGAAACTATTTGTTTTAAAATTTTGTTTGTTATTTAAAATTGAAAATAATTTTGAAGTGAAAATTTCTATTGACTTTTTTTGATTTGACTTTTTTTCGTTTTTGTTTTTTTGATGGAAATAAAAAATGTTGCTGAGTTTGTTGTTTTGTTTGAAAACAAATTTTTATGTGTTGATGTTTTTTTTTTTTTAATTCATGTAAGCAAGTATTTTTTTATTTTTGTTGTACTATGTATATATTTTGTGGTTATTTCCGTATTCCGTTTATAAACGCGTGTGCGAGCACGCGGAAAAACAAAAGTAAACTGTTCCACTGCTGCACATCGAACTATTCCTTACTTGGGTTCTTCCTTGTTGTCGCCGTTGCTGCTGTTGGTGTCGCTAGAGCTGCTGCTGCTGCTGTCGATGATGTTGCTGCCATCGTTGCCTTGCTCATGATTATCGTTGCACTCATCATCATCATCGTCAGAGCGAATATTTTCATTATTTGAATCTGGTGTACAAGCAACTTCGTTGTCGTAGTCTTTGTCGTCGTTGTCGTAGTCGCAGTCGTAAGCGTTGCCTTCATCATCATAATCATCAACATCTTCTTCTAAAAAGAGTATTTGTTTTGTTGAACATTTCTGGCCACTGTTGTGTTTTTCTTTCCAGTTCAAATGCCTTTACACAAGGGGCACAAATGCCACAACGACCGACTTCTTCCTCAACATTGTCGTCGACGTCGTCATTTTCAACCTCATCATCAACATTACCATCGCCATCAGAGCGATTTTTCTTCCTCTCACACAACTAACACTGAGACACGCACACTTGCACTAACGCATCCGAAATATAACCGTCGTCCGCACCATAGCAAGAAAATAGCACTATTCTTCTTCTTTCCTTCTTCTCACTTTTTGCCTCTTTGTGTGTGTGTTTTTTTTTTTTTTAAACTTCTTGTAACATAGATTTTCTTTTACTCAATGTGTGCGTACGTGCGTGTGATATATGTATTTTCCTTTGCTTGTTGTCATTTAGTCGGTTTTCACGCTTTACACGCACAAGTAGCTCACACTTGCAACACACTAACACACACAGTTTCAAACACTCGCGCGCTCACCAGTGTACCTTCTATCTGCTCACAGTAGCATAGAACACAAGAATAATGGGCAGAAATCAAAGAAAAACACACTTTGCTTTTTCATGCCTTGTTTTTTCTTCCTCCACTAAGAATTATTACCACGGAGCTGTATTCCATACGACGACAAGTAGCAGTGAAACGCCGCACACGAATGCTGTACGTTATACCGACAATGCTGGCACCAAGTGCTGCCTGGCTGGCTTTTTTCCTTCGAACCGGAATTCGCACACATTCGTCGCACTCTCACACTCATTGGCCAGAGTCAAACACAGAGTCAGAGTCGCTCGGCATTTTTTCGCAGCGGTTCTCACACAAATCACTTTGTATTGAGTAAGGCACAAGAACTTTCATCAAACAAGCAAACAAACTCTCTCCGACGACACAGAGAGACTTGAAAATATTGAAATGCAGCTCATTTTCTCGCACTAGGTCCCAGAACACCACACAACGCGTGAGTAAGAAAATTTAGAGCATTAGGAGAAGAAAGCGTCGCACTTCAAATGAGAGGGACAACGTTTATGTGTCGGCATTTGCGGCTTTAGCAGACAAAAACGTGCTACCGCAATTTACAGTAGCGTTGAGGTAGGAGAGGAGAGTAAACATTTGCAAAAGCTTTCTTCCGTTTCACGTGTATTTGTGTTACATATTGCACCTGCATGGTTAACAGAGAGGAACGGAGTGGAATGGAATTGAAATGTTAATGTTAAATGAAGTGTGCATCCTATTTTAGTGTTAGTGGATTTTGGTATGATAAAATTGATGCAAGGAATAAAGGAGTTTCTTTTATTAAAAAGTAAATAAAAATAAAAAATAAGCTAAGTTGAATACCCTCCACCATTTGGAATGATTTTGACAATTTTCAAAAGAATAAAATCCGTTAAAAATTCTGTTAAAATCTTAAAAATACCGAATGTAGCCTTTATATTAGGGTCTATATGACGACGTGGACCTGCATAGGCAACTATTGTCGTAAACCATTACAATACGCAAATGCGAAACTTGAATGAAAAAATTCGGTGAATAATGTAGCTAAAATCTTCAAAATACCTAATATCGGGAGGTACCGTTATATTCGGGCTATACGAAGACGTGGACCTGCACAGACAATTTTCTGACATAGGCTGAAGTATCCATTATGAACATTTTCTCTGGTTTTTCGACCTTTTTCGATAGTTAATAAAAACAATTATTTGAGCTTGAGGTCAAACTTTTTGGTTTTTTTTTTTTTAATTATTTATTTTTCTTTTTCCGATATTTCGAAGCTCTTTGAGTTTCATCTTCAGGGTGATTTGCAAATAATTAAAATAATAAACTTAAAACTAGCGTAGTGTGACTACTACCGTCAAGTGTTATTATTGCAATAATAACAATATTGCAATAATAACACTTGACGGTAGTAGTCACACTACGCTAGTTTTAAGTTTATTATTTTAATTATTTGCAAATCACCCTGAAGATGAAACTCAAAGAGCTTCGAAATATCGGAAAAAGAAAAATAAATAATTAAAAAAAAACCAAAAAGTTTGACCTCAAGCTCAAATAATTGTTTTTATTATCCATTATGAACTTCAAAATCAAATTTGCAACGATTCCGGTGAATAATGTCGCTATAATCATCAAAATGCCAAATATCGGGAGGTGCCGTCATATGGGGGGTATATGAATACGTGGACCTGTATAGACAATTTTCTGTCTTAGGCTGTAGTATCTATTACGAACTTCAAATACTAAATTTGAAACAATTCCTGTGAATAATGTCGCTAAAATCATCAAAATACCGAATATAGGGAGGTACCGTTATGTGGGGGCTATACGAAGACGTGGTCCTGCACGGATAATTTTCTGTCATAGACTGTAGCATTCATTACGAACATCAAAATACATAAAATCTGGAGGCACCATTATATGGGCGCCATCGCTCGCCAGACAGACGAATAAAATGTTCACACCCTAACACTCCACAGGGTATTATAAGCTTGATGGGACAAATATTTTCAAAACTTTGTAATATGGATTTCGGCCCAAATATATAATACCGAACGTTATATCTCTGAGATTTGAGTCTATCTGGATATTTGTTTCCACCCGTCCGTCTGCCCATGTTAAGTTGTAATCACTCCACAGTTCTCAATTATAATTCAACTCTTGACAACTTTTCAATGACTTAATGTTAGGGCTAGAATAGATGCCTATAGGTTTTAATGATGAATGAAACATAAATTTTCCTGATTTACTGTCGCTAAAGAAGTCATCGGTTTACGCGGAATTTTACAAAACATTGTTCTTCAGATCATGTAGGATATTGTTTTTAGAGCATTCATTACGGGCGCCTCTATCTCTATTGTTTTTAGAGATGACAGCTTAATATGTAGTGATTAAAATCGACAAAAATCGATGCGCAATCGAGCATGGGGTTAGAATCTAGGAGAATTTTGAGAGAATTTAGGGCAGAGGCCTACCATTCTGAAGGGTTTTAGGATATAATTTAGCTTGTGAAATGGACCATAACTTTTGTATAAAAATACTGAAATGTCCATGAGAAATCAAATTTTCATTCCCCGACGAAGTCAGAAGTAGATTTGTGACAATCTAGTTCCATTGTTCCATTATAATGTACCGTGGACTCCAGTATGAACACTCTGCGTATAAGTGATATGAAATTTATGAAATCACTCATACGTTTAGCAACTCGTGTACTAAACTAAGAACTAGATTGACAAAACTCTGGTCAGAAGGCATAAAACGAAACTTCTCACCTTAAAATTTACCTATTAGCACGCCACGGAATTTTGCGTAGTTTCGAGGCTCCGGTTGAAAACCAAAATGTTACATTATTTTAAGAATTAAATGGACAAATAATAAATGTCAAAATTTATATAACGGATTTATTATTATTTTTCTTTTGAAAATTTTGGTTTCTTATCTACGGGAACTGCAACTAACAGTGAATTATTTAATTTTTTATCTCAGTATCTTGAAAAATTTGTTCATTATAGCCAAATGGTTTGACATCTACTGGAAGATTGCCACAAACCATAGTGGTGTTGGATATCCAATGATTAAACCTGGCCGACAATATCATACATAAACAGGGTGAGATGAAAAAATTGCAACCAATTTCAGACGTCTATCATTTCTAAGATACTCGTCCGACAGCTGTTAAAATTATTCCAGTGACAGCTTATTATATTCTTTACAAGCGTACAAAAGCAAAGATGTTATTCCTGATGGAATTCCAGCGTGATAGTGTGATTTCATTGTATTTGGCTGGAAAACCACGAGTGACTATAGTTAGAGTGCTCCATTCTGCAGATATTGAAAAATGAGCTCGGGGTAAAGCCATTGAAATTCCAACAAGTGCAAGAACTTACACCGCAACAGACAGAAAATAGACTCAAAAGAGCTAAAGAGTTTCTTCGTTTGTCCGAAAGTGGTGAACTGCCGAATTTGATTTTCTCTGATGAGAAAACATTCGTTGTTCAGCAGTTTGTTAGCAAACAAAATGATCATATTTATATTGCCAAAAAGGTCAGCTGAAAATGTGCACCTTCGGTTGGCCACCATAACTCAAGCGCCCTGCATGGTGATGGTGTGGGCCGCCATAACAGCCGATGGTCGCTCTCCACTCGTATTAATCAACCGTGGCATCAGAATAAATGCCAAATAATATCGCGAAAATATTCTGGAGGGTGTATTAAAGCCTTGGGCAATGCAAAAATTTTGGCCAAAGACCTTGGACATTCCAACAGGACTCATCATCATCGCACTCAGCACGCCACCCAAGAATAGTTACAAAATGAGGTTCTTCGCTTAATTTCCAGCGCACAATGGCCACCAATACCTCCGGATACCAATCCGTTGGACTATTGTGTCTGGAGTATTTTGGAAAGCCAGCTTGGCACTAAAAATTACCAAGCCAATTAAAAATTACCTCAAGCAAGCGCTTCGCCGAGAATAGGCCAAAATTTTGCAGAACAACATTCGGGCAGCGTGTGACGGTTGCATTGGCCGTTTGAAGGCCATAATTCTTGCCAAAGGTGACAAATTTGAACAAAACTAAACTTATTCTACTTACATAAACATCAACTTTTACAAGGTGTGCTAGCAAGCCCATGTGACAACCAAGTTTGCTTTTAAAATAAGTATTTGTGATTTAAAATTTAAAAAAAGTGAAAAAAAAACCGTTGAAAAATAATGTTAAAGTCATATGTAATGCTACTAAAGTACGAAGTCTTATCGAATATAAAGAGTTACCGTTATATTGGGGCCTACGTAGACTTGGACCTTCATAGGCAATCTTCTGTTACAGACGGTGGTACCCATTTGGAACCTCAAATAGAAATTTGAAACAATTCCAAAGAAAAATGTCGCTTGAATCCTCAAAATACGCAGTTATATGAGAGCTGTACGAAGTCATGGTATTGCATAGGCAATTTTCTATCACAGATGGTAGTACCCATTAAGAACTTCAAATACGAAATAGGATACAATTCCAAAGAATAATTTCTCCAAAATACCTAATATAGGGTATATATGCTATTTTCTGTCATTTGATGTAGTACCCAAACTACCGAATATAAGGAGGTACCGTTATATGGGGGACGTAAACTGTTTGAGCAATTTTGTGTCATAGGATGTTGTATCCTTTTAGAAATTGGCATTGCATATTTACACAAATTACCAAAATACCGAATATTTGGAGGTACAGTTATACAAGGACTATATTAAAACTTAGACCCACATTGAAAACATATGCTACCAATTTACATCAACTTTTTGTTAAAAATGTGACAAAAGCAACATTTAAAAATCTTAAATCTGTCGTTACAGTTATATGGTGGCCATACCAAAATATGGACCTATATATAGCCCATTTCAATACCAAAAGTCCTGCAGTATAAACCTTCTTTATTTTGTTCGGAAGCTAGATTAATTTCCTTAGACGGACATATCGGCAGGGGGACAAACATCGCTAAATAGACATACTTTTATGCTGTTCAAGAATATTTATAATACTTTGTGGGGTCTGAAATGTATATTTCGAGGTGTTACAAATGGAATGACAAACTTAATATATCCTTTATACTATTGTGGAGGATATAAAATCTTAAATCGCAATAGTGCAATAACTACTAAATT